AATGGCATTCGTAATATAATATAAATTAACTATTGTAATAAAACATAATAATATACAAAACAAAATCAATTGCTTATTGTGGGGGTAATCATCTTTGTATCCATTTGTTTGATTAGTGAACAAGAAGGTTTACTTTTACACGAATTTTCGAGCATAAATCATTACATGCTTGTAAATGTAAGCATAATACTTTCACTGCAAAGAAATTGTCATCATTTGTTTACCCTTGTGTCAGGCTTTTCAGCTTGCAATTAATTTATAAACAAGTTAGAACAGCTTTAAATATTTATGATTGGAGACACAACGAAAATGCAACAGAATGCAGCTGCAAGCGATCGATTGTGGTTGTTATATATCGATTGGTGGTTATGCATCGATAGATACTTATTGATATCTACATTCGAATGGCCGACATTGGATCAAGGATCACAATATTCAAGTGGAGAAAGATGTGTTCTCCATAGATTTTGACGAATTTTCTTTATTTAGTTTTCATGTTTGTTTGAATTGGTTCAGTAATTATGCAAAGGAACGCGTTTACTTCTTCTTCAGGAAGGGGCTGACAATGGCCGGAGCAGCATAGGCGGTGTACGCAGGACCAGCCGCAGCATAGGTGGTGTAAGCAGGAGCAGCAGCTGCGTAGGTGGTCACAGGAGTGGCATACGAGCGGACACCGTACACCGAAGAGGTGTAGGCCGGAGCAGCCGCAGCGTAGGTGGTGTAGGCCGGAGCCGCAGCAGCATAGGTGATTGCGGGTCCAGCGGCATAGGTGGCAGCATAGGCTGGAGCAGCAGCGTAAGTGGCAACCGGAGAGGAGGCCAGGAAGCCAGCCTGGGCAACGGCGAAGGTGAGAGCCAAGCAAATGAGGAACTTCATGTTGAACTGTTTGTGTTGTTTGGTTGATTTGTCAGCGACTGATGCTGTTTCTCAATTAGCTCGAACGTTTTATAGTCCGAATTGTTGTGGGGGAGGCCTGCCTGTGGCATTCCCAAAACGGGTTTGCGGCTTAGGCATTCCCAACAAATAACAAGCGAAAACTGAATTAGAACATAATTGCGTCCGCATTGGATTGATTTCTGCATGGTAACGTTTCATTGAACGCGTATTCGTGTGACAGCAGAACTCAGCGTTCGATGTTTGTCGGGCAAAAGCAGTTGATGCCGTGTCAAATGGATTACTTTTCCCCCTCTTGTGTCTGCAGGTTTGAAGACAACTGAGGGGTGTCAGCTTTTCGGCTGAACACAGACAATAGGCAGAGCAGAGTCAAAATTATGTTAAAACGAAAATTTGAATACCTTTAAAACAAATATAAATCTAAGTCAATTTATTTACACATTTTTAGTAACAAACAACAAACCAATTAGATGAAGTCGCTTCAATTTCTGAAAATATATAGTTAATGGAAAAATATTATAAGTATTATTTGTGCATTCAATGAGCTAAAAAGCTCATCATCAATTGCAAAACTGCTTTAAAAAATAAATTAAAACAAAATGATTTAAACTATAATTTTGCATTTAATTAAGCCAAACAAAATGATACAAATAAAAGTAGCGAAAAAGCTTAAGCTAAACTCATGGCAGGCACCTGGTCTGAAAGTATTTCTCATCAATGAAGCGACAAAAGTCCACCAAATGCTTAAACTTCTGCACGGTCTGGGCGAGTGCCATGTTGGGCAGCGTGGTGGTCAGTATGCTGAAGAGATGTCCAAAGGCAATGGCATCCAGCTCGCAGGGCTGGTCGCCATAGAAGAAGGGCGTATCGGGTGACTCTTTGAGTTTATATTCAAGCGTCTCGCAGCATTTGGCCACTTTCTCGATGACATTGTCTATGTTGAGGTCGTCCCACTGATAGACCTTCAGCAGACGCAGTGCGTTGCGTCGCTTGCCATAGTTCTGCATGTGATTCATGGGCCAGGGATAGACACTGCCGTTGCGTGGAGCTGTGACCTCCTTGTAGACGCGCTCGTTCTTAAAACTGATGTACAGCTCGGCCATGGTGAAGATGTTCTCCACCAACGACACATACGTCCGCATATCAGCCTTCTCATCCTCGTCCTGCAGATTGCCGATGGCCATGTCCTTCTGCTCTACAAAATTGACAATTGGCTCGAATTCGGCAAAGATAAACGCACCAGCACGGATAAAGGGCAGCTTGGTCATGCGTCCACCCGGCGACATGTGCTCTGCATTCGAGCACGTGCGTATGTCAAAGGGTAAGTTGCACATCTTCAGGTATGCCTTTACGGCCAGGCAACTGGCATTCTCCGGCAACAGTATCTGCTCCACTTCATAGGGCTAACAGCAGGAGTGGGAAATGGAAGAGGAATGTATGAGACTTATGATTCCCACCGGTTGCGATTGGTCTACGCACCTGGTAGAGTGTGGCGTCCTCTGGCCATGGCTCCTCGGACAACTTGTGGGCGGTGGCGACTTGACTTAATAATACGGATTGTTGCATTTTCCTAAATTTCCACAGACAATTTCCTCAGCACAGGGGGCGATGAAGTAATCAACAACAGCTGGGCTTCGTGACTCGTCGTGACTCGCACATCCTATCGATATAATATATCAATTGCCAGCTTGCTTAAATTCGTTGTGTGGCAGCCCTAACAGCTGTCTGATATCGATATCGCTTGCAGCAAGAATCGAGACCATTTACAGCACTGTTTTAGTCACTGTTCCGCCTTCGTTCTTTCTTGTTTCTGTGTTTTTTGCGTTGTTTTGTGCTTTGTTTGAACATTAAATATATTGAAAAATCATACATATATTTTGATTAGTTGTGGTTCACGTGACACTCAGGAAACGTTCCAAGAAACGGCCATTATTACTTAATTTGCACATTTAAAAGGTGAGTGCGCGTCTTTCGGTGTCTTCTGTGTGTGCATGCGAGAACTGACGGTGTGTTTTTGCATTGAGTTCCTATGCATTGAAATAATGTTCGACTTTGAATAAAAGTATGGCTGCTTATCTGCACGCAAAGGCACCAACCACTCCCAAAAAATTCACTTGCAAACCATCGCAAACCCAATGACGATTCATTTGCCGGCCTCTGCGGTGTGTGCGAGGGTGTGTGTGTGTGTGTGTGTCTTGTGTGATTCATACATATAAATGTATGTCTGGGTGTTAACATTTTTCTGGCCGTGCACATTTCTTTATCAAAACTGGGCATGGTTTGTACTTTTCCTTGAATTATCCCCACACCACACCATGCCACAAAAAGCAAGCGAGCGAGTGAGCACTTTGACGGGGGGTCTAAGCAGCTTCCATGCCCCTGCCCCTGCCCCTGCCCCTGCATTGCTACTCGAGGAATCTACAAATCTCTTGAAATTTTTGTTTGGAATCGGTTGTGCCTTAATTCGAAATCAGCTAAATATTTACTCTCGCAACATTCTCGCAACAACATTAATAACATTTGCCCATTCGCTTGTAGTACGTTATGTACTTTTGTTTCAATCCAAATCTGGAAAATTGAATACTATTATCGGGTCCCAACATGTATTGAAAATGGGCATAAACCGAGCGACGTGTATTTAGATAATGAAAAATAATGAAAACCAAAAGCAAGATAATAAACTACCGCCAGAACATACTCGTCCCCATACATACATACATAAATACATACATACATACATACATACATATGTACATATGTAGTAGGCACATGTGTGTTGTGTGGCTGGAGGCGTCGGTCTGGTCGTATTCGCTTAACGCCCGTTCTGGTCAATATAATTCAATGCCGTTCTCCCCAACCCTCAAGTAGCCCCTACCATGTCTCCGTGTGCCTTTTGCCTTATCTGCCTTTGTGCGTCCGTATTTGGTTGGGACCTTTTTTTCTGTTTCCTATGCAGGGGGACATCTGCCAGCTGCAACCGCCATCCCACCTACGTCTCTCTACGCCACAGTTCATCGATGTGTTAATAATTGGAATTTAATCAATATTATCGAACTTGAATATCGAGTGGTTAACATTTGGTGGTAGCAGCAAATTGGATGGCAATTGAATGATAAAAGTCAATCAATTTTATCAGCTAGTCCTGCTGATCTCCAGGGAACAGATGTACAAATGTACATACATAAATATGTATACATTACATATGCATATGTACTTAATACAAAAACCCATTATAGTGGCTACATGTTACTCACACTACTAAAAATATCCCTATGACCCGAATGACTCATTCCGATTGAGAGGAGGCACAGAAAAATGCTAAACAAAAAAGAACTTCAACTAGGAAAAATCATGCGTAATGCCTACCGATTTAAATGTACACATATTCGGATTGATAAGTAAACATATCAACAACTTTTTATTCAGCTCTCTAGGTGAGTGAAAAGCCATGGCCGAAACAGAGACGCAACACCATCCCGAGCATCATGATGAGGATGTGCACGATGCCAACTACCAAGCACCGCCAGAGAAGACCATCGAGGAGATAATGGCCGCCGATCAGGAGGATGAGAGTTTGAGACGCTACAAGGAGGCACTCCTGGGTGCAGCCCAGACCGAGAAGATTGTTGTTGGTAAGAGAGGCAATGAAACAAACCCTAATTAGTGCTAATCTTATGCTCCTTCATCTTCAGAACCCAATGATCCCCGCAAGGTGATTGTTAAAAAGCTGGCCCTGGTTGTGGAGGGACGTGATGATATGGAATTGGATCTGACCGGTGACATTAGTCAACTGAAAAAGCAGGTAAGCCCATAATGACTTACCCATTAACGATAGAATTTGACCTATTGATCTATTTTCGACAGCTTTTTGTGATCAAAGAAGGTGTTCAGTACAAGGTGCGCATTGATTTTCTTGTCCAACGCGAAATTGTTCATGGCCTAAAGTATGTTCAAAAGACATCACGCTTTGGTATGCCCGGTAAGTGTTTCGATTATCTATCTAGCTGTGTGTAAGACGAACATTTTTCATTGCACATTGCGTACACTGCGTTCCGTGTGCACTTTTGGGACTTCACACGTTCCTCGTTTCGTTTTCCCTGCCTATAAAGGCCTTAGTTCATGATTGACTTTTGTCCGAGCTAGATCAGAGAATAGAAATGGGGAATAGCACCTTCAATAGCACTAGCCTGCTGTGCGGAATTTTCAGTGTGGTTTATATTGTGTTTATAACGTTTGCCATATTTACCATAATCATGTGCTGAGCATTCAAACATTTATCAAAGTTCCTTTGTCCTTGTATGCCTTACCCTTCTTTTGTTGGATAATTATAATTGCAATGCGTTAAGTTGTGGGTAAGATTGTGGTTTAAGTGCTTAAGATAATGCTTATTTATACGTGATTAATCAATTTATTTGTTCTCTTCCTTAGTCGATAAAATGAAGCACATGGTGGGTTCGTATCCGCCAAAGAAGGAAATTCAGTTCTACTTGACGCCAGCTGAGGAGGCGCCCTCCGGCACATTGTCGCGCGGCACTTACTCGGTCAGCTCGATCTTCACGGATGATGACAAGCACATACATTTGGAATGGGACTGGACCTTTGAGATCAAAAAGGACTGGGCATAAAGAGGGAACACACAACACACACACACACACATAAACCCTCAATAAGCACACATACACAACAGACACGCAGCAAACAGCAAACAATTATTGTTTTTTTTTCCCCACAATATGTCATGTAATTAGTTTTTATGTTTTTGTTTCAAAATTTGTAATCGAAAGTTTCCAGCAGAGAGAAAGTCAAGTATTTTTGTGAATGGTATTAAATTGAAACCGACTATTTTTGTATCTAAAGAGTTAATGTAGAGCCATGATAAGTATTTTTGATATCCCAATGGAATGTGTGTTAAATGAAGAGCAATTCTCGCCACTAAGAGAGAACCAGTCAAAACCAAGTCAAGTCATCAGTCAGCCTTCTGCATGCCATTGCATATGTCTAACATACCCTCTTCCAGCTGAATTCTAATGAGTAATGAGAACTTTAAGAAAGTTTTAATGCATTTTTGCCATGTATTTAAATTTAATAAGAAGGGAAAGTTCGTTTATTCCTTCAAAATGATGATCCATGGAGCTGAATACCCTACAATAATGCATTTGATATCTGTAAAACCAACATATAAAGGGGATTCCACACTGAACTCTACTATATGTATGCGTAAATGTATAACTTAACTATCTCTGTGTAATTTTTGTGTACAATTTATGCGAATGCAGCAGAATGGGTGCAACTGAAGAGCAATAAAACGTAAAATATATTTAAATATACACATGTGGCACACATTGTTGATGTTTTTAATCACCCTCAGAACAGATTATAGCCTCAACACTTTATAATGTCTTATCGGATGACGTTGCAAACAACGTAAACATCATAAATTGTTGGTGGAAGTCAAAGGTACAACTCCTATTACTCATCCGCCGTGTGTGAGGGCATACCAACCATTTTTGTGGGGTGTACAGCAGAAGAGAGAGCAAAACCATTTGCGCTCTCTGTTTATATTCCGCTCGGGCAGCATGTTGCCAACTAAACTGTTGCACTCGGCAGCACGCAACATGCGTCCCAACACTCGAAACCAACTAAAATGCAGGAGGGAGTATCGAATCGAAATAAAATATTCAAACGCACATTTATCTTTAAATGAGTGAATAAATAAATTGCCTGTTTGTAAATGGCGCAATTTGCCGCAAGGAAAAGCGCGGAATGTAAGAAAAACAACAGTAATAATTTCAGAAATAACCCTGAGGCAGAGACATTTGGAGCCCTGTCAGACCACACACAAAAAGGTAACGCTTTAAAAGCTTTCTTGGAAGAACATTACTTATTTATTCCGTTGATTGTTTTCATTTCATTGTTCTTTGTTTTGAAGTGGCAAAAAAGCGCAAAGCACAAAGAGGCAGAGACCAGTTTTAAAGCAATATATTTTTCAATGCTTCCTCCAGAAGTTTCCCTTAACAGAATACAACATTTTAAAGCTTGCTAAACCTTTTGATTTAAAAGCAAGAGCACAGATTGAGGACTTTCCGATCCACTCTAACTGAAAGAAAATGCCAAGGCTTAGGTTCATCTCTGTCCATTGAGTACAGAATGATTGACAGTCGGTCAGACGGTTGCCACTCGCTTCACCATCTCCATATTGTTCATCCAATGCAATACAGACACAGGATTGTGTGTCACTGTGACCTTTTAGCCTGATGCTGGCAATTGTCCGACACAGCCCCCCCCCCCCGCCATAATGGTCCATTGCATTCTGGCATGAAGTTTATGAGAATACTATGGCAATGAAGAAACAAAAAAAAAAGCAGAAAAAAAGGAAAGCCAAATGCTGCAAAAAATAGTATAAAATAAATGAAATCAAAAAGGAAACGAGGCGCAACAGGCCATGTTCAGGCACGCATGGCTGGGAAAATGCATATGGCGTCGGCCCTGGCATCCATTTTGTTGGCCTCGCAAGCGCCTTTATTGGCAGCTGTTGCATTCGGGTCAGGAATTCGCATAAAATATTGCAGATGTCAGCCACCACAAGAAGAGAAGCCACCATTATATTTTTTTAAAGATATTTTCCTAAGAGTAAATGATCACCCAATGTGTGTTGGCTGAGTCCTATGTGTACCATGGATAATCATTTGATCTCTATCAAATTCTGATATATTTAAACTTAATTAAATCTAGCAAAGATTTAAGCAGTATTTTTGCTAGCTTCTGTTGGTTTCCTATTTCGTATGCAGGACACGATGAAACGTGCGAAAGTTTTTTTCCCGCACGCTGCGTATGATGAATTTAACTTGACGCCAGGCATCTACGGGGTTTGATGGTTTGCGGATAGTTGCGGCATAGATGGAAAGCCGCTTACTATTTTCGTTGCTATGATTGGATTTTCGCTAATATTCGCAAACGGAAACAATTTGTGTGTTCATTTCGGAACGGAGCAAAAAAAACCATAAATTATAGCTAAATAAAATAACACACAGGGCAGCGGAGAATGTCAATCAACATTTAATGGAATAGATGAAAAGCAGGCCATAATATTTTTTCTATGGAATATACTCGAATTTTATAACCCATTTAACTGCCAGTGGCTCTGATGACCTTAAGTCCACTTACCACACAACTCTTTAAAGGGGCGTGCCATAGCGCACGTCGTCAGGCCTGAGGACTGGCCATCAGATTTCCGCGTGGCCAGTAGGACAACATTCAAAGTTCAGCAAATACCCTGGCTTCACCGTGTCCCCCCACGTAAAGCAAAAATAATTTGCGTTTATATTGAATTTGTTTTTTGTCCCTCTGCGTATGTATACATTTTTTGTTGCTGTGCTAGAGATTCATTCGAAGTTGGCAGGATATTGCATGATTTGTGAATATATTTATTCAAATGGACTTGCGGTCGGGTAGTCGGTGGCTGCTCATCTGCATTTAAGGGGGAGCTAACATTGATTTTAGGCATTAGCATTCCGAGCTTTTCGTCTTCAGGGCATGCGATAATGGGCAAGCAAAGGAAGAGCGGTGGATACAGGTGCGAGAGGATTCTGTTTCTGTTTCTGGTTACTTTATATTCCAGCATCAAATTCCAACCTTAAGCAGTCGCTGGCTCTAGATGAAAGAGGGTTTCATTACTTGGAAGTTTGTTAATAATTTAGCAACTCAGCAACAGCAGCAGCCTGGGCTTTATTGTGTTCTTTATGGCTTGATGTGAGTCCCCGAAAAATGTAATATTAATTCGGGTAATTTAACCCTTATTTGAAAGTTCTTCTCAGAGCTGGAAAGTGTGAAGCCAGCGAAATACAAAGCACACATTCACGATGTCAACAAGCTGTTGCCACTCGCAGATACACACGCTCACAAACACAAATAAATTCAGAGCCAGTTGATTGTCTAGAAAGGAGCCGGGGTCTCCCTCTCCTTTCCAGGGGCACTGTTCATGTTGCCTGTTGACTTTGCAGTTTTTAACGTTTTGTAATTAAGTGGAGCGCACTAATTAAGGAACATTTCGTAATTAGGCTTTGTGTCGTGCCCAAAACTGACGGCTGACTCTACTACTATACACTTAGACCCCCCCATTCCCTTATAATAAGTAAGTAAGATACATTTAAAGCTCTTTTTTGCGCTTAAACTAAAATTGATTTTCCCCACCAACAGGCAAAAGTTCAAGGGCGAAGTTAGCCCTTCAATTAAAAATGTATAAGAAAGCAACGTTAGTGGTAATATTGACAGGCACTTAATAGCCGTTCATTAAAATATAATTTACCACTTTCAAGGAGAGCAACAGGAGGTGGCTAACAATGTAGAACATTGATTTATGGATAAGGGAAAGAGGTCACCGATATACTTAAATAAACACAATTAAGTAAATACCATAAATCTGTTGGCGCATTAATTAAACTATCAATCAGAATATTGATGAGCGGAAAGTCCACCCTTTGATAAACAGATATTTAAAATCGGAGGATTTATTTTAAATTCAAAACCAACCACAAGCTAAGAGCCTGCCCACGCTCACGCTCACGCCTACGCTCTAACCCTCCTTCCAACAGCTGCTTCTGGGAATTGAGTAATTTTATTCGCCGTCTGAGCAGTGTCCTTCCGACATGCATCCTACCCCCGGACTGACTTTCGAGCAAGTCCGTCGTGCGAAGGTAAACATGTTTTGATTTCGATCTGGTAATGTATTATGCATGCCAGGGACTTGTTGGAATCATGAGCAGAGCCCACGATGACGCCTCCAGGTCAGGGGAGAGGTGGCTAAGGTGCCACCTTGACCTTGGGGACAGCCAATTACTAGCATATCGGAGGCCTTCAATCTATTGGGTCGCCAGACAGCACCCTGGCCCTTTCCCTATCCATTTCAGCTGATAAAATTTATGCAAAGTCCAATTTGGGGCCTTCAATTAGGTAATTTGCCTTTATCCTTGGGTATGGCTGGGGCCTTACACCAGTCAAAATTGGACTTTAATGTCCCCTGATACTTTAAGCTGATTCTATTCTTGTTTATTCGTCAGTCGGAACTCCATTATTATTTATGCGCATTTAGAATGCCACAGCAGAGGTTGTCAACTCCATGAGTATGTTGTCTGGGGGATTACTCTCCATTTGGGTTGGTAATGGGAGACTTGCCAGAGACAAAATAATTATGTTGCAATTAAAGGAAATTCAATGAAAATAATTGCTCATGGATTGCATATCACAATCGCATTTTCTGTGCAACTTTTGTGATATTTAATCCCCACCAGAGCCAAATCAAGGGACACACAAGACCCTTGCCAGGCAGGCACACTGTCAAAGT